ATTCGATTAGAAGTTGATTAACAATAGATGTTTGTGCCTTTATTCGAGACAAATAGTTAGATGAAAGTAATACAAAAATCTTGGTGAAATAATTGTTCCTGGTGCAAACAAAATGTCCAATTTAGTCTTAAGCGCAGTGAATTTGCACACGAAAGCCCATGGGAATGTCAATAATGGGCACATTGGCGATACAGAGACACCAATTCAAATCGATGATTTATCCTGCATTAATACAGAAGACACAACTATAGCCACAACTAGCAAACCAATAGGATTCCTGAAAAATGAAAACAAATCGGATTTCTTTGTGACGAATCGACAGAGATCACCGACAAAATATTCACTCGGCAGCAATAATATTTCGATCGTAACATTTGATGAAAATGAGAATGATTCAAGTGTTATCGATTCAGATTCGGATGGTGATGATGTGATAAATTTTAATGAATATAGAAACTCCGTTGGCTCTGTGGTAGTGAACAAATTCGTCGAACCTCCAAACATTTGCCAGTCAAATAATTTGTGTGCAATCAATAATGCCAAGCCAAATATTGGCAGTTTAGCTGTACAAAATTCGTCTGATGTTACGTTCGGTGACAAGTATTTGGGCCCAGTGACAATAAACCAGTATGTACACGATAACGAGCTCATCGGATACGCAAACAACAGCACAGGTAATTTAAGTCCAAAGGAAACGGTTAAATCACCGAAAATTGTTTATTTATCATTTAACTTTATCAGTTGGGGATTTTTTTCTTGACTTTTTCTCCAAAGAGAGAGTGGAAAATTGAAAATATTTTGACATTTTTGTCTTTGCTTCATCATAGCGCCATTCGTTATGTACAATTCTTATGGCGTATTTGCCACTGGTCTTTCATTCAATAAAACAGAAGTCTTTACACTTCAAAGTTATGGAAAATATAAGCCGATAACAAATATTTTGAACTGATAAGCTTCTGATACAGAAATTGCGATAATGATAATTGATGATGTTAAATAGTTTGTTATTGATTTTTCAGTTAACAAATTTCATTCGGATCAAATTCATAAGAAATGGAAGTGGACTAAAAAACATGTGATAGTAGGCGTTATTGCTGGCGGAATCTTGACCAGTGCATTGTTTGCGGTAATATTAGTAGTAAAGCTCAACTCTGACGAGGATTCACTGCCAAGTAATGCCCATTATTATGTTGTCCGGATTTTTTTTTAAATTCTAAGAGAGAATCAAATTTTGTTTGCGGGAAAAACATAATAATTTTGACATATCCTAGTGATAAAAAATACTTACTGTCTATGTTTTTCTGTTCATATGATTACAGCAGGTCCAGTGAAAATTATTTCGCGAAAACAATGGGGTGCTAAACCAGCCAAAGTAGAATTAAAAAAATTAAATGTGCCAACACATCGTGTGATAATCCACCACACAGGCATTGATTATTGCACAACGCAGGTATTTTATTCTCTTTTTTCAAATCAATAGATTCAGTCAGGAAACAAATATAGGAAAATGTGAAGAAAAATTAAATATTGATACGAATCGATTTTTCTCAGGATGAATGCATCGCTCTAGTTCAGTATACTCAGATATTTCACATGTTCCATAAAGGATGGGATGATATTGCTTATAATTTTCTCGTGGGTGGTGATGGTGCCGTCTATGTTGGTAGAGGATATAATTTAGAAGGTTAATTAACTGTTCAATTTCTAATTCTAGCAAAAAATTGAAGTTTCTCGATATTTTCTTCTATATTTCTCAATTTCGTACAGGTTCACACACCCTCGGTCATAATAACGATAGCATTTGCATTGCATTCATTGGGCGATTTAATGACATCGAACCGCCGAAACGTCAACTCTATGCTGCCCAAAAAATAATTGAAGAAGGACTTGAGTTGGAAACACTAGCTCCAAATTATAATTTGTATGGTCATTGCCAATTGGGTACACACGCGAGTCCCGGTCCAGCTCTATTTCGGATTATTAAAAACTGGAACCATTGGACTGATAATCCAATGGGCATATGTCAATCCTAATTTCGATACCCCAATTTTCACCTGAATTGAAAAATTTGCACATAAAAATCATACTCTCAAAATGTGATTTCGTCCAATTTTGCTAAAAAGCCAAGGTCATATTGGGTGAAATAAGTGCTCCAATTTCGCATACTTTGAGCCAAAAGCGTACACAGTATCATTGGGAAAATTAAATGATATCGTTGAATCAAAAACGCATATAATTCATTATACCAGCCTATTGATGTTTTTTTTCGCTATGTGAACATTTTCCATTGAAACTGAAGATACACAACAGCAATTGATAAAATGTGATATTATTCAATATTTGCATTATTATAATTTCCGTTTTGTTACTTTCAACATTTTTGACATAGATTTCAATAAAGAAATTGTTGATGATGATATCTATATTGTATTTACCTGTACGATAAAAAAGTGATAAAAATTATGACTGGAATAATGGAATGAGTTGTTAAGTATAAAAATAAATCAACAAATATAGTAGTTTCGATTGAAAATTGATTTCAGATTTAGAAAACGTGATCGCTGATTAATAGCTTTGTCTTGCCGCTCAAACGAAGATATTTTTAATGTATGTAATATTTTGCATCAATGTTAGTTATCAGAAAAAAACATTGTCAGAACTGTATTGAAGATCGAGTGTGCGGAGTTGATAACTACCCGTGTGCAAATAAAATGACTAACAGTCACTCAGTTGTATGTAACTGTATGTAGTGATACACAAATAAAACTGGCTAAGTTGAATGAAATCATGCGTTTTGTATGGAGACAATCACGTTTAGTTATTCTTTCAGTCAGTCGACTAATTTGAGACATTTTACCAAACTGAACTTTGCTGAATATATCCATTCATTACATGTTTCGATAAAACCATAGAAACCTGTGAAAAATAAAAAAAATTCTTTTAATATGTCCCTTTAAAAAAAACTCATTCTGTTTCATACCAAAGTCCATGTACCCTGTCCAATTACCTATTCGGTTTTCACGTAGGCATGATATTTTGAGCTGTGGATTTAAACGTTTGACAGCGATTATTTGATCTATAGTGAAAACAAAGTTCAATTCTAAAATTCAAAAATAAAATTTTAACGTGGAATAGAATATAATATGTGGTTGAATAATAAATATGAATCTATTTGGTTTCAATATCATTCATCAGAGAATTTTCGTCGCTCCGAGTCAATTCAAACGATAAATATATTTCAAATTGAATTTAACGCTGTCTTGGATAAAGTATTCCATCGTCTAACAGATGGCGTTATAGCTTACATGCATTTAAAACCAAGAAATACTTTTATTCATTTTGGTAAATTCGTTAAAATTTCATTTAGTTTTTCATATTTTATTATAGAAATAGAAAATCGCTCTATTAATTCAAATGCTAATTTGAAAAAAAATACGAATTCCATTCGATTTCACGCACTCGTTTAAAAGTAGCGCTTTAGCATCATGTTTACGTTCAGCGTTGTGTATTGCGTTTGACCGTGATAAGTTGGTTGTGCGTTAAACGCATCGAATCGTTGCATTGTCATCATCCGAGTGACATTTCTCTACATTTCATTCTATTATTTTCAATATATCATCATCAAAGCCTTATTTTCCCTTGATTATCGCTGGAAAATATTCTTCTTCAGTGCGGTCGAAAATAATAGAGAAAAGTGCACATATTTCGTTTGTATCTAAATTAGTTTAGTAGAGTTTCGAAAACACAGACCGATTTCGTGGATTGCATTTAATATTCGTCAGTTGTTAGTCTAATAAGAAAATTATTGCCAATTCAGTGTACATCGAAGAATTAACCAAAGCAACATTGGCGACACTTTACAATGGAGGACCAACAAAGCGCTACCGAGCCGTCTCAACAATTTGAGAACATTGATTTTAATTCATCGCCCGATGAAAATAACAAAGAATCCAGCAATAATGAGGATCAAGAACAGGTACCATTTCATTTTCATTTGTATTTCTTATCGTAGAACCCATGGTGATAGATAGATTGGAAATGGGATGGTTGATGTTTGATTAAAATGCAATAAGAATTGAAAACACATCGCAATTTCAGTTCCGACGTTCCGAGAAAAAAAAACCAATTTTTTGTCACTCACATCATCGTTTATGAGTGGCGATAATGAAAATATCGCAAAGCCGAACAACGCCTCAAACCGAATATTTTATCATTGTAATGTTAATTGTTTGTGGGCTGTCAATGGTGCTGCTGATAACACGTACCATTCCGTTCATATATGCAGCAAAAAACAGTACGTGAGGCGCGCTTTTTTTTTCTTCTTTCGTGATATAATAAAATTCAAATGTTATTATAAACAAAATGCATGAGTAAGACCGTAATGCGGCAACCAGGCCACAATAAATGACATTTCAGTGGAAATTTACTTCACTAAACACACTCTATACAATGTATATATCAACAGCCAAGGGAAAACAGTGTGTCAAAAAAAAGTCAGCGTCGCTCAAGTATGACGCATACAGTTATCTACGTATATTCTGAGCAGTTCATTCCCATGATACTCTTTTCCGTTGAATGATAAAAATTTGACACGTTTTAGAAATTTCTTTTATTTTGAATTTCCGATTTTTTCACGAACAATATTTTAAAACGATTAAAATCTGTGTGCATTTTTGCACATTTTTCCTTTCTTTCTTCTGCATGTATGAACCATATTTTTGCCTATTTCAAAGGAAATTACTCATCTTTCCGCTTCGACTCTATCGCATGTTTCCCTTCGTATTGTGATAATTACTGTGCATTGATTGCTACACGGTCTTTGTCACATAAATGACATAATCGATAGCGAAAAATGTGTGAATTTTTACGATTAGCCAATTAGTGGCACATAAAAGTCTTAATTCAGTGCAAGACGAGATAGAAAAGACGGCTTCTATGCTCACATAATATTTGCCGATTATGAGAGGAAAGCCATAAAAATGGCACATTTTTATTGCATAAATTCCCTCAAAGGTCTGCATTTTCGGGAAGTAAATCGACTAATGAGCAATAAAATGTGCAGAACCTAGTCAATTTTTGGGCCCTCAAAGCGTAAAAATTTGAATTCAAATATTTGAACAAGTAATAAAAGATGTGTCATAAAAATGGAAAACGAACGTGTATGCTACTTAATTACAGTGACTGAAGAAAAAAGTGCATAATATCAAAATGTGCAGATTTGCCAGCTGAATGTGTGTGTGTGTTTTTTTTTTCTGGGTGAGAAGTAACAAAGCATTCAAAGCAGTATAATTTTATTGTTTGTCTCACTGTCATCAAGAGCACACAGTACGTGCATCGTGTGTGCATTGCAATGGATTCGAACCCCACAATCAATGAACAATGGAATAGAACCTCTACGACTCTAACGCACTGCTGCGGCGTTGTTCTTTGATTGATTTCACATGTGTTCTTTGAACACAGCCGGAAATCTTTCATTAAAGACGATGCTGTTCAGTGTCGACCGAACGCATAGTTTCGACACCACTGATTACAGTTGTTTCGCATTGAAGTGTTCGTTGAAGTGAAACGACCGCCTCTAGTTATATATGAGCAAAGAATGCACTCACTTCAATGAGTTGTTCAAATAAAAGTAAACACACGATTCGAAGGGGTTTTAAATTTATAGTCAAAAATATCGATAAAATTTTGCAAACATTGCATGTGTATCGAAGCGAACGATGAAAAGGATTAAATTCAAACCGTTACGAGTTTTGTTATGGAATTTTCCCTCATAAATTTGTCCTCTTTAAATATTTTCTTCTCTCGTTTTTTTTCTAACCCATTCAGAATGAAGCCAGCAACAACACAATGGAAGACATTTCAACGGATGAACATTCCGATTTCTTCATCGAAATCACCGTATCCGAACCGCAGAAAATCGGTGAAGGCATGGGCTCTTATTTAGCGTACAAGTAAGTGCACTTATCTTAAACCACAATTCGTCTGTTGATTTGAAATTGAAAAAAATATACTTCAATTCATCGATTTAACCTTGTGCATCGTATTTTTTCTTCCTAATTTCGGCGATCAAAAGGGTAACAACACACACGAGCATTCCAAAATTCAAGGCCAAACAATTCAGCTCAATGAGGAGATTCAGTGATTTTCTTGGTTTGCATGACCTGCTCGTGAGTAAATACCTCCGCTTGGGACGAATCATTCCGCCAGCACCAGAGAAAAACCTTTTTGGAACAACTAAGGTCAAAATGACTGCACAAACACCAACGGAGCCTGGCAATGGCGCCAGTTTGGAGTGGATTGAACATCGTCGTGCTGCTCTTGAACGATTTTTATGTCGCACCGCTCAACATCCATCTCTATGCCTTGATCCGGATTTCATCAACTTTTTGCAAAGCAACGAAGAACTTCCGAGGGCTGTTAATACGGCCACATTGAGCGGTGCTGGTGTTATGCGGCTATTCAATCGCTTCGGTGAGACTGTCAACAAAATTACATACAAAATGGATGAAAATGATCCGGTAAGTGGACACTTTTTCATCTTTTTTCATGTTTTTCCTGTTATTTCACTACTTTATTTTAAACAATTACGCTAAAAAAAACCTCGCTGTCAATTGTCTCGTTCCAGTGGTTCCAAGACAAAATCTGCGAAGTAGAGAATTTAGATAATAATTTGCAAAAATTGCACTCGGCACTGAAATCATTGGTGACACATCGAAAAGAGCTATCCGGATTGACTGGTGCTGTTGCCAAGTCGGCAGCAATATTAAGCACGTGCGAAGAGCATACGGGTCTCTCAAGAGCATTATCACAACTAGCTGATACGGAGGAAAAGGTCGAACTATTACGTTCCGAACAGGCCAACTCCGATTTATTCATTTTGGCAGAAATTATTAAAGATTACTTGGGCTTGATCGGGGCGATTAAAGATGCCTTCCATGAGCGTGTCAAGGTGAGCTTCGTAATTTGTTTGATTTTAAACCAAAAATATTCCTTCTTTGCACATCAATGTCTCATTTTCATTGGAACTCTCCTACAATTTCCAATTTTTCAACTTCAACTCTCGCAGGTATTCCAAAACTGGGAGCATTCACAAATACAACTGACCAAACGACGTGAAAACAAGGCCAAATTGGATCTTGCGAATCGAATTGATAAAACTGAAGCGGCTCAAAAGGAGATTGTCGAATGGGAGGCAAAAGTGCAACGTTGCCAGCAAGAATTCGAGGAAATTTCCAAGGAAATCAAAAAAGAGATGGAACGTTTTGATATGAAACGTGTGACCGAATTTAAATCAATCATCATCAAGTATTTAGAAGACCAAATGGCACACCAGCAACAGGTAATTACTCACACAAATGCCACATTATCACTTGAAACGATATTCTGATTGATCATATTGTTCAAACAATGTTCAATAATACATTTCGTTTATTTTCAGCTCGCCAAATATTGGGACGCATTCATTCCGATCGCCAAGGAAATCGTTTAAACCTACTTTGATTCAGCATTCTTCTTTATATTTTTTTTCCCTATAAAAAAAACCACTTTAGATAAATCGAATGCAATGGCAACACAAAATTTCATTTATTTGTAAAATAAAAATTCATGATCTTTGGAAGTAAGGTATGGAAAAAAAAATACGATATTGCATGTAAGCAACAAAGAAATATATCTTTATAACTTAAAATTTGCCCAAAATGATTCAAGCACGAGTTGAAACATTGAATGTATTCTTTAGAATAAGAAGAAAAATCTTTATACAATAACATTTGTTTGTACAATAAATGTTTTCTAGAATCATAGTCGACACTGTTGTTTTTATTGTCTTGTGGATTCATTGTACCATCAACGAAATGTTGAATGGGATATCAGTGGAGCCAGCATAAATGGATAGTAAGTATTGATGTACAATGATTGAAACATTTGTGTTTATTTTTGATCGAGGCAGTCGCAATACAGACCAATTCCAGATTGACAGAGTCTAAACCGAGAGATGTAGAACAGATGCCATATACACAACTTACAATGAAGTCAATTGTTATTTATCAAACCATAACAACGTCAAATGTCGCGTTGATAACGTGGCAAACACGTGCGAAACAGAATTTCCATTTTAATTGCACCGAACCAATCGTTATTATCAGACAAACGCACACAATGTTCAGTACTATCACATATTCTCTGTTTGTTTATAATTGACCTACTAGAAATATATTTAGCTTGATGTTTATGAAAATTCATAGATAATTTAATCGCAATTTGCCATTCGCAAAGCAATTGTGGTCGCATATTGAAAAAGTACCGTATATTGAATGGTTCATGTGTTGATGAATGAATGGCTTTGGACCATCCTCATTGTTCAAAACGATTTATAAACATACTCAGTGAATCGAATTTCCAACTAAAAAAAAACAACTTGTGAGATGGATCTGAAGTAAATGTGCAACAAGTTGTATAATTCGTCTCGTCATGGTTGCATTCTACATAAATCATCCAACTAATGAGATTGGTATCAATGTTTAAGTGGTTGATTGATGTTGACATTTTGTTTGGTTATGAAGCAGCGCAACAACTATAACATTTCTAACTGTCAACTGATGTTCTACTTACAGTATGACTCTTGCACACATCATTCATTCCCCTTCATCTTTATTCATTCATGGTTACTCTTTGCCGGGTAGTATTTTCAACTCAGTGCTGATGTTATGGCAAAAACTCACAAACCTTCCATAAATCTCTCTTCCAAAAGTAAATCTGCCGCTATCAGCCCGCGCATGTATATGAGAAAAGTATACACAAAATCGGTTCTTTCTTCGAATTTTCTTTTATTTGCATTTTTAAAAAAAAAAACTTTTCTTTCGATTTTTATTCTGAACATTAAAATTAGGTATCCATTTATAGATATTTAATGTAGAAAAAAAACCCATGGAAATTTTCCATTTTAAAAATTATATTGCCCAATTGTGAATAAGCGTTTTGTTTTGAATTTAAGTAAATGTTTATTTTTGTGTGATTTTACTCTCGTTCAATGATTTAACGCAAGCATTGCTTCAATCGAATAGTTAAAGCAGTCTCCAACTAACTTCATTAAACTACATTAATATGGTCAATTCACATATTTTTCTCCTCAAATCTTCTTCTATAATCGGCAATTATATTTACTAATCCAGAAAAGAAAAAGCAAAATGGAAATTTAGAATTACTTTACACATCACTATGGTTTTTTTTTTTGTTTCTTTGAAGGAAATAACATAATCCTTCAATTAGTCAGTCTATTTAGAAAAACCACGAGTGTATCGCATGTTGATAATTATGCCAGTTCCACATTGATCTGAGTGCCACAATTATGCTAATGCACATTTTTCTGTGCATGCGTTTGATGACCACGTTGATACAATTATCGAACGCATCAGTGCGAATCGCACGCAAAAGAATGCCTGGGAACCGATTACAATAGAAAATCATATTTTGCATAAAACCGCAACAATTTGATAGACATCGAAACAAACGAGGGATGAATATGAAATGTTTATGTTTGACGAAATATGAACTAATTTGTTATGAGTGAATTGATTAGTGTTTGATAATTACTATTTTAATAGTCATTTCGATGTGCATTCAATTTCAATTTATTAATGAGTTATTTTCGTTTGTTCCTAAATCTTTTTGGTACATTTTTCTCTATTGATCTTTATTTCTCCTAAGAAAATTGCTTGAATCAATACGATCCAAGCCATTACAATGAACAGTTCAAAAATAAATTTTAGAAAGAAACAAAAACGGTTCTTTTTCTTAATTTCCCTAGCATTCGCATGAATCAGCGATTCACTCATGTGTTTTTCCTTATTTTGCGTTTCTTTTTTTTTGTATATTGACATAAAACCTAATCGAGTTTTATTTGAATTTTCTTTTTGAATCCCTACAATTTTTTATTATATTAAAGCTAAAAGTGATTTTTTTTTTAATAAAGTGCGCATAAAATATTCATGCAAACATTTTGTTTTTCTTTCTTCTATGAAAATAAATTAAATTAATTTCGGTTTTTTTGTTGTTGTTGTTTTTTTTAGTTAATTTATAGGTTGTTTGTGGTTCAAGTCTTTGTTTTTGTTTTGTTTTTCTATTTGTATGTTGAATCAGGATGTGTTTCAGGGAATTTTCGACTAGAATCGGGCGGTGTGAGCAAACCTTCTGGTGGACAAATGTGATCGACGTTTGTACGCACTGGAGCTGGTGACGCCTCTTGCGAACTTTGTTCACGGTACAAAGTGGCTTGATCCTAAAATGGAAGAATAAATCGTTTTTTTTTTATTAATTCAATACTGATTTTTTGTTCTGGTTTTTGCTTTTGCTTGTATCAACTTTTTCAGTGAACTTTTTTGAAGAAAATTTTCAAGGATTTTTTTCCATGTTCTTTTTCAAAAATTAGAGAAAAAAAAATCGAAAGTAAATCGCTTAGCTAAAATATATCGAGTCACTTAAAGGAAAAAATAATAGGGTCAAATGATGCTATTGAAAACAAATTCAATTTGATGCAAATAAAACAAAATACTCACAAACATATCCATGGATGTGGTGTGCATTTGGATAATGTGTGAATCGTCTGTATTGATGTTAGTGCAAACTGAGTTCAAGCCATGTTTCGTTTCGGTCTGTTCATTTTTCTCTTGCAACGTCAATTTTGGCTGTTGAAGAATGACATGAAAATATGGTTCCATCCACCGATGGCATGGAGCAATCGTAGCCCAATCCAAGCCAGACAGTTTAACGGCAAGTTTTCTGGAGAATTTGAAAGCGAATAATTAAAAATAACATTCTTTCGTTAAATTTCATGTTGGAATAAAGAAAGACACAAAGGATTAAAAGATCGAAAAATAATGAAGAGAGACTAAACTCAAAAATGCACAATATTTTAGAGTTAAAATCAATCAATTCAGAGAAAATCAACAAACAAATACTCCGAAGCATGAAAATTGTTATAATTCTTTAATTTCTAAAATCGAAACCAAGAAAAAAAGAAAACCTACTTGTTGTATGTGTGACTGATGGCAGCAGCGGCAATGACGGAGTATGGAAAATTGGCGATGCCAACGTCAAGCGTACAGAGATCGATGAGTTGTGCGGTTTGTGCGTATTCTAGTCCGGAAAATTGTGGGAAAACGAATCCGTCATCGATACCATTCGTGGCGGCCGTTGCCGATTTATCGTTGTGTGATGTTTGTTGTGTGACGGTAGCGGTTTCTTTCAGTACGGGTTTTCGAGGTGTTTCTTCATAGGTCTTTGATGTTCGATTGCTAACTTGAAGTTGCATATAAATACCTAACCATCCGATGATTGTGATTGGGCTGGTTTGCCATTGTAATGCGCAAAGAATGACGAGTTCCTGTTTGAGAATGTCTTCTTCGCTGCATGCACCGTCCGTGACATAGGCAAATTCGCTCAACTTTGGCGGGTAGATTTCCTCGACTTTTGCCGCAATGAAAAGACACGTAATTCCGATCAATTGCAAGAATGTTTTTGAGATGCTAACATTCGTCGACAAATACCGATCGAGATAGTCTAATGCTAGGTAATAGGTTTCGCGATGTAATTTATACACTTCGCACACCTCATTCAACCAGTCTAACAGGATTGCACGCATACGTGGCTGTAGCCCTTGATGTTTTTGCAACATCTTTGGATTCCTATCCACCGAAGTCTTTTTATCTTTGTCGCACATGAAACGCCACACATCCTTTGCATCGGCCCACGACAGCAACGGCAATGGGCAAATGCGCGTATCGTTTCTCGAATGGCATTTTGTGCATTTTGTCCATGGTTCGGTTTTCTTAAGACTTTGTGGCGTCATTTCGATAACATGAATTGGTTCGATGTTATTGATTGGCGTTAGAGTTGTCGCCGGTACCGTTTGACCACTGACACTCCTGCAATTGCTGTCCTTGTGCTGATTATCATTATTATTTAAACTACTATTTTTATTACTATCGTGATTATTGTTTGTCGAACGTGATGATGCTGATGATGAATTGGTGCGTATCGTGCAAACGCCACCGTCGATTTTCTGCCGTAGATTCACCGATTGTTGTGGTGGACTGGGTCCAATTGTTGCATACAAATCCAATTCGATCGCATCATTCTCAATATCACTAGCCGAATCCAAGTCTTCGCCCGACGATGAATACACTTTCTTTGATGGCGGCGGCCGTTGATTCTCAATGTCAATCTCATCAAACGAGGCGCGACGCTTCCTTTTATTCGATCCACTGTTATTACCGCTTACGCTTGATGTAACTAGTTCAGACATTGTGGCTATTGTTGCACTGCAAAAATAATAAGAAGAAGAACGGAAAAATTTATTAACGAATTTCCAACGAAAATGAAATCGAAATAGCTACTGTTTAAAATCTACGGTTGATTTTTTTTTTAGCCATTTGATTTTGTATACAATTCCTTTTGGCGTCTAAACACATACATTATTGCCGATTAATACATATAATTAAAAGAAATATCGATACACACTCATCCGTGCACAAATAATAAACCCTGGCACGAATAAGACCTCATTGAATTTATTACTCAAGGAGAAAAAAATACGAAGAAGAACGGAAAAAAGGACGACACATGAAACGGCAATTTCAATTGTGTGCGTTCGTTCCTTTTGTCAAGAATTTTGATCCCCTAACTAACTGTTAAATGTCTCTGTGCCGTGTGTGTGTGTGAATCATGCAGAAAGAACAAGGAGACAGAAAGAAATACGTTGAGTCGAGAAACGAAAGCTGCACCTTGAGTGTGTATGTACAGAGAGTGCTCCTTTGGAAATCTGTAACCGTTTTCCTAATTCGAATTTCGTAAACAACACCCCAAGCTAATATTTTGTTTACATCTTTGCGCTGCATGCGTTAAGGATTTTTTTTTTGCGCAATCCGCTCATAAATTATGAAATCCATTCGGTTGATGCGCGACAATATTCGCTGCTGACACAAAGGTAGATGCTTGTTTTGGAAGTGGCGGGATCAAAGTAGCAATTGAACCAACACGGGCATTAGAATAAAGAACATTTAAACATTTTCTTTTAATAACATCTGCGATGGTTATTATTCAAAAGAATCAGATGACCGATTTTGAATTTGAGTCAAGGAATACGTTTCGACAAATATAATAAATGCAATGAACATTTTGCGGTTTTGTTATTTCCTGTTTGTTTGCTAGCCAATTTTTTTTGTTGTTCTCCGTGCTCTTATTTTAAATGTCTCGACATTTAATTTCCAGTTTCTAACATCAACCGAGTCGATTCGACCCTTAAAAATGGCTCTATTCGCCCAAATGAAGATGCAACTGCCCATCTCGAGGGAATCTCGAGGAAAACTACTGGCAGCCGTTTGAAATACCCAAGCTGTTTGAATGCAGATTGCCTTGGAAATACCATAATATGAAACCAAATGAGATGATGAAATCAGATGGTCATAATTCTGGTAGAGTTCATGTACCAAATCTTTCATCATTCGTTTCCGAACAATAGCACAATTATGAAAATGTTTGACTTTGTGCTCCTCGGAAATTATTATCGCTGATGGCAAATATTGTGTATGTTTCGCTCATCTTGAAAAAGGTACCGTTGAAAATGTTACGGCAAATATTTTCTACCTGCGATTACGGATCATAACCAATGGTAATGTGAATTCGGCGGTGTATTCATATCAAATCATTTATCGCTCAAACTCTGACAGCGATCAAATGTGTTTGCATACGTGCATTTGTGAATTCAGGACAAATACCAACACACAAGCATACATTACACACACATATATCGGCAAACATACACACGCATATCGGCGTATTGACGAATGCAATGGTTGAGACATGCTTTTAGTTACGGTACACTGCCCGCTTCAATTATATGAGACATCTGCCATATGCAAGAGCCGAGTATTTTCTATAAATTAATCATACATTTTATGTACACCACCGAAGCAAAACTGAAAATCCAGTTTTGGTGGCTGTTATACTGCGGCTGTTGTTGCTCGTCTTCACGACGTTTGTGCACCTTCGAGTACGCGAAAAGGTTCTACAAACACAAATGATCCTGTCAGTCAAAAAAAGACCGTTCGTTCATTCCTTTGCTTAGGACCATTTAATAGAGGCGCACGGGAAACAAGACCGTTCGGCCCAAAGCGAATCGAAATAGAAAAGGTGTTACGAACCAACAGAAGAGAAAAAAAAACGAACAAGACAAAGTAACCGTATGCCGTTTGCAATACGATTTTCTTCGTTCGTCTTTATATTGAATTTATGTATACATATTTTATTTATTTATGTGCATATATTCAGGATTATCGCTATAAAATTCGGTGTCCCTTTTTTCTTCCTTCCATATCGTACCGATTCCATCTAATCTATCTGAATAAACAGTTTTTATTTTTCTATAAAAACGTTAAGGCTGTTGATGGTTTCCTTTCTCTGGATTGTATCAACTGAAAATGTGTTGATTTTGGCCAAACAAGCGCCTTCAGCACAGTTTAACCTCAGTGACACTGGGCTATAAAAAAAAATTTGGTAGGACAAGAACATCGTGTTGTTAGCACTATCGATCAATTGGAACGTTAAATCATAATTGAATCCAATTCATAAACGGAACGAAAAAATTGCTGGAAAATAATAATTGAATATTATTTTCGATACCGGTTTTTTTCTGTTTTGACGACATCAAATCAACCACAACCCTTTTTTTTCAATTTAACGAAATTTTCTTCTTCGAATTTGTTTTCTTGAGCATTTTTCTCCGTTAAATTTTTTTTTCTTGGTAGTAATTTTTTTCGTAACGAACTCTCTTGTTTTTGAAGTCATAAAATTCTGCTTTGGTTTCCAAATTAAACTCATTCACGTTGAATTCGCGCCGACAATCATAAAATTTGGTGATCAAAATGCAATCATTCTCATTAGTCCCGAATTTATCATTTCCGACCGGTGCGATTTTAAATCAATTAGAATGAATGGGTTCGATTTTTTGCTCGTAAAATGTGTTTTTTTTTCATGTTTATTTTTAGATGTTTGCTCGCGACTGTTTTGCATGACTGACATTGCAATATGCAATGAGGTGCATCGCATCACCACAAAAATAAGGGGTGAAATTTTCAATACAAAAAATAGGAAATATTCAATGGAAAAAAGTGAATGTAATGCGCGTATGCCATTCACACTGTATGCGTCACAAATACTATGATCAAATAAATTCGATTTTAATTCCATATGATTATTTTCCGTTCAGAGCACACACGGTGTAGGTCATTTTTTTTTCCCGAAGTCGCGACTTTGTTTATTGACTCCTAATTTCAACACTTTGAAATGTCATTTTCGAAAGGCTTTAAATGTTACTGTATCGAACGGCATGGGGAAATATGTGCATGGTAATGATGCGTTTAAATCGACTCCTGATCCTTTCGATCATTCAATTTGAACACGGCGAATTTTGTTGAATCGGAACGAAAAAAAAAAATGTTGATGTCAAAAGAATAAAAACGAAAATTGATGTCATTTTAATGAGTGGTAGTTCACGGTTCGCGACTATGAAACAACAAAAATTCCAATGGAAAGGTTAAAATTTATGATCGACATTTGGGTATTTATGGTCAAATGGACAAAAGGATGACTCGCGAGAGTTAAACCACAATTTTTTTTATGAATTTCATTTCTACAATTGTTTGTCTGATGATGAACTTCATCCCTCTTTTGAAATTGGACTCCTGTAATTAGTTCCACTTTCTTCGCGTTTTCCAAAGGAAACGCGCGAGCAGCGATAAATAAAATTCCGCGGCTGCATTGCCACACTTCCGAATGGGCAGCGTGAAATGATGGATTAGCTGTGATGTTTTCTATGGTCAAAATTCTAATAGCAAAGGATAAAACACCAATAATATCCTATTGAATTCACCCATCCATAGCAATGTACACGTGTGCTTTCCATCGAATCAACACATCGCGACCGACCGGCTGAACACAATATAAAACCATAACTTTTTACCTAATTACCAAACAAACAATGCCCATTCCGCACCGAAATAATTCAAATAAGAAATGTGCCCATTGTTTCACCTCCGGTCGTCGTGATATATACGAGCGATTGAGGTAAACAAAGCGGGACACAACTCAAAACATAGTATACACACATCGACATAAAAAAAATTGCGCGGGAAACCGAATAAGCGGCGTATAAAAATTCATATGTACGGCTTTTGTTCATTGCTTGTTTGTTGTGCATGCATCAAATGACGCGGTACATATTGCACCACGTCTGCCACCGAATTATGCCTCGACTTCCTTTACACACATACACGAAGGTAAACTGTACACAGTCTCTCGCTAGCACGCACGCACAGTCTCGATACGCTATTGTTAACTCCGATTTGTATTGTTTTCATATTCGCGCGCGCGCGACTGAATTTCCTTTACACATTTTGAGGTGAGCGATTTGGATCGAGGATAAAAGCTGAAACGCTGCACTTTGGCCATGGTGTTCTTATGTCAACTGGATTTGCTGACGCGTAACGGGGTAAACAAGCCACACTGAAGAGTGAAAATGGAATAAGTAAGTCGCGTTTCCTCGTTCTACAATGTGCTCAAGAGAGACCGTCTGCATCCATGCAATAAGAACCTCTTCTTTTGCCGGATTTTCGTATCTTATGGCTGTTTTAATGAAAATTAAATACCCAATGCCGCGCACTAAAGGAGCATTAAAATGACAAATGAACACAAGAAAATCCATTAACCAGCAGCAACCCTTTAACATTTCGCTTTTCAATTGCTGCAGTTCAACAATGCAATCGAAGTAAATGTGTTTTTTTTCTTTCGTTTCGTTTCTTTACATTAATTAAAATTCAGTGCGTTCATTTTGGTCGACAGATCGTTTCAATCGTTGAATCATCGGTTTGCTAGATGCTTTGAGCCAACTGTTGTTTTGGAATTGAAATGAGCTACGAGCAAAATGAGTGAACAGAATGTCTTCGATGTGAAATGAGAGACTATGAGTAAAGAAAATTGCCCACAAACTCAAAAAGTGCCTGTTTTTAGCCTGATGTTGGAATGAAAAATGGAAATAGTGTCGTCCAGAGCACAAAGATACCGCAAGGAGTTCAGCATGGGCAAGGGAAGATGTGAGAAAGACGCGCACCACATGGCATAATAGCATAAAATATGCGCATATTTTCCATTAGTATGCGTGTTCAATGTTCATACACATGAAACATAGTTTGAACGTTAAATTTTCGAAAAAATGAAGTCACATTGCTATGTGACTAGTCTCTCTTTCTTCCATTTAAGACCTATTTTCCGATGTGAATGTAATAATTCTTCAATGTGTCAGTTGAACTATGGCTCTGTGAACGAGTATTGTGTTTGTGAATGTGTTTGTCGAAAGTGAGAAGATACGAGACGAAAGATCGGTAGAATTTCTTCCATTTTCTCTCACCCTACCCCAGCCGTTGATGCCATTGTGTGCAAAAGTGTCTCTATTGAACTATCAATAGTTGCTAACAAACGATCTTTCTTCCTCTTCTTTTTCTCTTCCACCCAGTTTTTTTTCCCATTATCGTTACCTTTTTTTTGACTAAAGCACCCTATCCGGCCATTTAAACTGCACTTTCTTCATGGAATACATTCCATTCTGCATAGAAATGCTCTGAGTCTAATCCATTTTTTTGTGCTTGTGAACTAACTAAGCCAACATTCGCATTAAGGGTATAAAAACTGGGAGTATACACACCAAGAGAGAGAGAGAAGTGAAATACCAAAGCATTCATTAACACACATACGCTCTCACAGCAGCATAGGCATTTGTCGAGTCGTTGCCTGCTTTGCTGCCGAAACGATAACAATCTCTCCTTGTGCGTATGGTTTTTTTTTTCCTCTTCTTTCTTTCGTTCACACTACACCAATGCGTACGTATGCGTATTACAACAATGCAGGAATTAAGAAACGAGTTTTTTCTCTCTCATCTTTTGCTCGCTTTTTTCTTGTGACATTTTTTTTACACATTTTTTTCATACAAAATTAAATGGCCATTTTTTTTAGCCAAATAAAAAGTGTCGATGTCTTGATTTCTAATTTGCATTTCATGTCATTGACTCACATTTTTTTCATAGAGGATTGTGAATATGCGTGTGAATCGATTCATTTGTTTTTATATGGGTTTGAATGAAGTCAACTCTATTCATGAAATTTCGATCAAAATTTTAACGTTCGTTTTGACTTTGGATCAATTTCCACTTCTGTCTATATTTGGCGATCTGTATCATTTTTGTTTGTCAACATTTTTCTTATCTCGTTTCAATCAATTTTAGGCTTAAAATTGATCGATTTAAAACAACAGACAGCAAATTAGAAATTATATTCTCGACCAGATCAGATAAAATGTTTTAAATACCCCAGTTCGATTTGGTTTTTGTATGTAAAATGTTTTTACCCGATTCAAAAATGTTAGCTAAAAGAGAAATTTCCACTTTAGAATAACATAATTCACCCGAAATTCAGTGTGGCACATGAGGGTGATCAACGGCCAAAGATAAGAACTGAAGGGAGATATATTATGATGTGACCATTGGTTAAAACAATAAAAAATTCCCATAATTTCACGACTGAATTTGTCTTTCACATTCTCAAATGACAATGATAATTATGACGAAAAATTGTCCTGTGTCGCAATCGAACGCTTGAATTGCCATCCAATTGCGTTTGCATGTTGATTAAGTTGATTTGTTCAGGCCCGAACAAAAAAAAGATAAACAACAACATAAAGGAGAAAACGAAAAAATTGCGCGCAAAGCACTTTATATCTAACATTCCAATACCGTGCAGGAGGTTTACCCACAAAATAATTGTGCACATGTTATGTGTTCTTATTAGTTCAATGCATTCATTTCTCTCTCGTTGCTGTACGTCTGGGGCTGTGTGCTTTGTAATTCGGGCATTTAAATCGTTCATCGTCGAGACAACGACGACGACGTCATGCAATCGGTAGATTGAATTTTTTTCGACTCGGTTCTGTTTGACGATGATGAAAGGCGAAAAACGCGCCAAACATAGAATGCTGTTCCGGATCGGTTATTGTTGTGTGCGCTTTCATTATTCGTGATCATTCGATGCATACTGTATGTAGCTATAGGTTTTCTCAATACCAGCACATGCACACATACAGTACACATCCATGTCATACAGTCACAAACCGAACGGCAAACATTGAAACTAAATACGAGCAGGCAGAAAAATGTTCATCATTTCCTTTCTTTTTATGGATGTTTATGATTTTTTTTTTGTCTGCATTGAAAAATGAAAAATTCTGGGTGAGACTCTGGCTTACCTCTGCATATCCATTTTTCGTCGATATCGGCCAAACAGAAAATCCTATGCGCACCAATGCCAAACTAATGCTGAAAAATATACAACACAAAGAGAGGCTTAGAAAAAAAAACGCATCTTCTAGGTAGATTTTTGTCGTAGTTTCTCTTTTGAACATGTTGTTTTGTGGTCTATTGATCGTTGCCAACGATTCGTTGCATAAAACAGAAAAAAATCAGACAACCGAAACCGACAAAATTCCAAGAATTCACATGCACTGATATATGAAGAATCGATTCACTTGATCTTGAAATTTCCAAAAAAAATCCTATTTTCGGATTGGGAACGAAGAGGAAAAAAAACGGTCAAAATCAATATTTTATTTCCTTTCGTATATTCTCATAGAAAAACTCTTGAGATCGAAACTCTCTAAACCAGATCCAAAGTGCAAGCGATATTTACGCGGTAGCTGAACAAAGCATATCGAACGAAAAACACATTCAAAACAAATTTAAAGGGCCCCGAATATTTGTGTATGCTATGTGAAACACACAATGCGAGCTTTAAATGCCGACACCAGCGGAAATCACAGCAAAGAAGTGAAATAAAAAAAAGACATTAATACTAGCATGAAAGCCACATAAGAAGATACAGCGCGATATGGAGATGTGTGGAAAATGCCAAAATACATACGGCTTTTGGCGGGCTACATACTAAGACTAAATGATTTTTTTCTCTCTCTCTCACTCTTTTGCCAACACATTCTCTCTCTCACACACCAAAATATTTACCGATGAAAAACGCCGTCCAACTTTTTTTTTTCCGGTCAGCACTTTAAATTTTCGATTGATTCGAATAAACTATGCAATTTTTTTCCTGGTTATATCGACAGGTTTGCATGCACCTTTGAGTAGAAAAAAAACACACGGTCAAAGCACTTTGTACAGTAAAAATAATTTGCTGACGGCAACGAAACAATTGGTAAAATTATTAATTTAGATGGAGTTGAAAAAAATTTCTCTTGCATGTGAATCATACGAAATCAATGAGCACAACCGCTTGTTACCCGCCAAAAGTATACATTCTGTCAACTATGCGACACGTTGCGCATCTCTTTCACTCTCTCACAGTCGACGTACAGCGAGTCGGATTTTTCGTACGTGAATCTCATTCTCTCTCATTTCGAAAATCTCGCTGTGTGTTCAACACCCGAGCGATGTTCATTCACAAAGTGAATGCCAATCTTCGTTTTTTTTTAATTGAAATTAAAATGATCAAGCAAGAGAAAAATAAAATATTCGCCATCGCCTGCGCGATGCAGTTACAAAAAGCGCGAAGAAGGGAAAAAAAGACGAATGTTAAGCGCCAAATAAAATTTGGGGTTATTACGAAAAAGTTGCGATTGGCGCGATTGTCGTGTAGCGCTTTTGTTTCAGTTCGTTCACACTACACACTAACAATTTCCAAACCACCACGAAGAGATTATTTCATTCTTGACCTCTTTACATGCTGTGCGCTGGGTGTGTTTTTTTTTTAAAATTTGGGTTTGAATTTTGTCGACGATTGCAAATTAATGAGTCAAAAAGTAATTACCTGTTTTTAATTGAATTCCAATTGAAAGAGTGTACGATCCAAATGTATATATAATCCGAGTCGATCGGTTGAATGAGCTAATGAATTTTATTTTTCTCGTCATCAATTGCAGCACATCAGGGATCAGAGAAAAGTTCCAGTGTTTTTTGTTGGTTGTTCGTAGTTTCAATATTTTAATCCATATAAAAATGATCACACACGACTTAATCTAAATGTTTAAACACGAAAAAGAACACACTGGCAAACTTAAAACTTAAACCACGAACACACTCTTCAAACTCTCTATCTCTCTGCTTGTTTTTCCTTCTAAATAAATTATTGGCTAAATGAATCGCACACACAAACTTCAGGCTAAATTTCATTTAATGCAAATTGTTCTAAAATTTTATTAATTCCTGGAGAAATTCGACGATTTTTCTAGTGCAAAAGAACGTGAAAAAATGTGCGTGTTTCACTGCATGCGAACGCAGCAATGGGGTTCTCAAAATACGAAACACACACTGAACTTTTCTTAGGCTCTCTCTCGCGCGCGCTCGACAAAAAAAAATCTATTCACACATAATTTGGTATATACGTATGGATTCTTCTTCGTGTTCTGTCTCTTCTTCGCTCTCTCACTCTGAATGTATGTATTTTATATGTGTGTAGTTCAATCGTCGCATAACTACTAAAAGACTCCGGCCTGATTGCGATACCGGTATGCGAGAGAGATCACTTTAGTTCAGTCGGTTCATGTGTGTGTGTGCGTGTATTGCCACTACATCTGTTGCATTGTAACTAGTTGATTCTTCTGTGTTTATTCCAATAGCTTAAACTCTGTCGCGCACGCACTCTCTCACTCACTCTCCGTGTGCGCTACCTCTAAACAAAAACAACAAACTCTACACATTTCTCCACACACAAACATACAATCGCATACCGCTACACGCACCCATCCAAACTTACCCAGCTCAATATACAGTGTACAATACATATATGCGATCGATATGGACGAAGCAGGAGAGGCGGCAAAATTTTTAAGCGCGCAGCGCATACACATACAACAATTTTACCATTTTGCGCGTACCGTTAATGTTGGTTTCGGAACAAAATGATGACAGCAGCTTTTGCCTTCGCGCCTTCCATCCACGGCTACTACGTTGTGCTGTAGCGATCAGCTGTGACCATATTTACATTTTCATACGCATTCGTTCGAACATACAACACCGTGAACTGACGGACGGCACACATTGAGGTTATTTACGAAAATGCATTCGACAAAATCATTGATTGGACATTTTAGAAAAATTGAGGATATTCAAGAGGTTTTTTTTAGCTATATTTTGGAATTGGACGATTTTTTATCATTTTAAAGGTGACCAAATACCTAAAGAAGATTTACCTGTTTTTTGTGAACCATTTAATGATTTCGTATTAGATATCGTAATATGGGTTTAAACGTAATCGATTCGAAATAGACGGCACTCATTTCAATTTTCGAAATCTCTCTTTAAATATACGATTTTCTTCTTAATTCTCAACTCTTCTTAAGAAAAGAGATTTTTTTGTCGACGAACAAAGAATTTTCAAGTTGAATTTTTGATGCGAAAAAAGATTAAGTGGAAATCAATCATCAATTGCTTTCAAAATTGCTCACATGTCATCAAAAAACACATTAAAGTCATCATATTCAAATATCAGATAAATTCTACGTGATTGAACTAAAAATGACATTTTTAATGCAAATTATCTGTTCCACAGTAGAATTGTTCGGTTTGTTGTTGTACAGTAAGAATACTTGTTGTCTTTAATGACTTTTCTAAAACAAGACTCGGATTTTTCAATTTAAACAAAAAAAAATTCACTTTAAAAAATAACACAAAATCGACGAAGTTTAAGAATCCCATAAAATCAACAAATCATACTGATCAAAACCACTGACAAATTGTCTCTTTCTTACATTTTATTGGTAAAATTCAGTTACTACGTGAAAAGAAAAAACTTCGCTGCTCTCTATATTGGATAAATTCAAGCAATTAGATTGGGCTATTTTTGAATCCTTTTGATGCATAGTCACCGAACTCTGATCTATCCGACAGCTGTGGAAAGCCTGGATCGCCTGGAACGACACGCTTACGTGAATGAATCACTTTCCATCCCGATTTTTTTGTCCAATCCTATGCAAATCAAGTCAAATCGATTAGAATTCGGTAGAAAGTTCAATTTTTATCATAATTCTCAATTTTCATTCAAATGGTTGTGTCAAAAATTCCAAATCAATACTTACATTTGGATTGTACTTAAAATAATAGATTACAGCATAGGTGAATGCAATTCCCAATCCAATTTTGCCGATCATCGTACGAATGATTGTAGCTGGTTCTCTACCCTGAAAGTGGAAAATGGCAAAATAAAGTGTTTAATCAAATTTGTTTTTAAACAGCGAATAAGAATGAAATAAAAAAATTGCTTTCTCATTAAAAAGCAAGCGAAAAACATGTAAACTAAATCAAAAGGAGTAAAATATTCGAAATGATTCGAATATTCCGTTCAATGTTTGTTGTTTGTGTTGGAAAAGAAAAGTGTGGTTATGTCACTGTTGTCCAATACACACTGAGTTACATAATAAACATAATCATAGAAAATGAATCGTTCAGATATTTACAATTCTCGGGATCAATGGTTCGAGCAGGAGGTTATCCAATGGCTTCATGTACCATCGACGAAGTGGATTACGGAATTGTTCGTGCAATTCTTTGACGAAAACGGGTTCACGTTCGGTCAAAATTTGATCTTTTAAGTATTGAGCTCGCCAGGCTCGTTCCTCTGGAGTCATTCCAATACATCTTTCCCGTTCACGCACCATACGACCACCAATGGTCATTGGCTTCACGCCACCGGTATCCGAGCATGGTATTCCTTCTGACATTTTCACCCGTTTCCTTCCGAAAACACGAAAAATTTACAGAAAAATATATCAAAAAAAAAGTTCACAGTTCTGTGTCGACAGTTCTTTTTCACTGAAAAAAGGAAAATAAACGTCAGCTGTCAAATGACACAGACTTTGATGTGTCTACACAGAGAGCTCTGTCTGTGGAAAGTGGAAACATCGATAGCACAGTCGCCTCAAGTCAACGTTGTTTTCTTTGTTTAAAACAATAAAAGAAAATTTCATTGAATGAAAATGGAAAATGTGGAATATTTTTGATTTTTCATTTTCGAGATGAAACAAAATATGAGAAAAATCCACATTTTTCATTCATCACATTGCAACCGAACGAGTCCATTGGAAATGTCAAAACGGTTTGTTTATGCCATACAAAAGCATCATATACAACACATCATAGAGGTTATGCTTACCGTGTGTGTAGGCAATTAATAACAATAGACACATATTCTGAATAGAAGCCCATGGTCACAGTCGCATTCACTGAGACACCGCCGATTCAAAAATCGATGTAGACATTTCAAACGTAAAACAAAAACATCCACAATCGATAAATCGGTGTAGAAAAAACTATGAATTTCATTTATAAAATTGTTGTTGCTGTGATATTGTTTTACTATAATTGTTTAAGTTTAGATTTTGTATTGGGTGATGATGGTTACAATTATGTTGATTTGCCCGAATCGCATTTGCCATATTATTTCAATAATTTTCCGCAAGTGATTGAACAGTGTCTTAGTAATAGTAGTTGTACTTATCGAACATTATTTGCCAGTGATGATTATGATAAAAAGAAATGCTGGGGCTATGAACGTAATTGCCTGATGGAGAATGCATTTTCGCAGCCAAAATGTGCAAAAGAAAAACCCGTTTGGATCAACAGCTATGAAGAATATGTTCAAAATTTCTATGACCAAGCTGATTTTGGTAAGATTCCACACTTGAATTATAATTTATTGTAATTATCGATTTACACTACAAGTCGGAGAACATTAATCGATTTTTTATGTGCTTTTAGGTTACATTCGAAACCAAATAAATGAGTTGATGGTGTTATGTACGCCGCTGTTTCCAAATGACTCGATGCTTGAATGTTCGAAGAATTTACGATTCTGCCATGGACGGAACATTATGATAAACTTCACCGATCTTGCATCCGAGAAACAGCCATGGCGATACCGAACAGATGTTTTGAAAGAAGGACAAATTGGTAAGAATCAAGCTTTAGTTTATTTTGATGTGAAAATAAAAAATTCGGTGAAAATGGATATTGTTCCTATGGAGAAATTTTCGAATTAGAATAAAAATGTATTTTTTCTCAAAGGTGGCTATTGCAAGTTGAACAAAGAGCTGCTTGGAAAACAAATGGACCATATGAGTGCATTGCAATCATGGGCACCGGAGATTCGTAATTTCGTTGAGTTTAGCGAGCGACCAATCGATACAAGCAAATGTGATTTAGTGTACGAGAAACCGGTGTACATTATGAAAATTGATGCAAGTACGTAGCAACACTGCTTTAAACTATCGAATCTCTGCTCACGAATTCATGACGTCACATTTTATCCATTTCCAGATAGTAACATGTATCATCATTTTTGTGATTTTTTCAATTTGTATGCGTCGCTTCACGTCAACATGACTCATCCCAAAGCGTTCGACACAGACAATTACATCTTTCTATGGGAGACATACAATTATGTCACACCATTTTCGTTAGCATTTAAAGCATTCACACAAAATCCAATATTCACCATCAAAGCATGGACCGGCAAAAATATTTGCTTCAGAAATCTCATGCTACCATTGTTACCTCGCATGATTTTTGGACTGTACTATAATACGCCCATCGTGAGTAGAAACCGGTTTTGTGGTGTGACGTAATTAGAATCAATTGATTCAATCATCACTCATAACATTATTTCTCACTCTTTTTTCAATGTCGCCCCATACGCATCACAGATAAATGGATGCCAAAACAGCGGACTGTTTCAAGCATTTTCGGATTTTATGCTGCATCGATTGAATATTCCATTACATCACAAGAGTGACGATAAGATTCGGATCACATTTTTGGAACGGAAAACAAGATTTAGACAAGTTTTGAATTCAGACGAATTAGTCGCTGAATTAAAGAAGAACCAGACGTACGAAGTGAGAAATGTTCGCTTTGAACGTGCCATGCCATTTAAGGATCAATTGGAAGTCATACGGAATACAGACATTTTTATTGGCATTCACGGCGCCGGACTGACTCATCTACTCTTTTTACCCAAGTGGGCGACCGTTTTTGAATTGTAAGAGAAATTTGGTTTTGATATTCTTTTTTTTGGTTTACGGAGAAGATATGAACGTTTGATTAATAATCAAAATGATTGATTATTGAGTAGAAAATGAATGAATTGAACCCATATTGTCTCATTTTCTTCCAAATTTTTAGATACAACTGCGAAGACTCAGAATGCTATAAAGATTTAGCTCGACTTCGAGGCGTGAATTACATGACATGGGAGAATAAGGATAAACTTGTTCAACAGGATGAGGTAAAATTGGAATTTTGTTAGCAAATCGAAACTAGTTATGAAAATTCCTAAATTGGACCATCCAAATTTGTGTTGAAAAATTCATTTTTTCCGGATTTTTTCATTTCAAAATTTCTTCCAAATTTTTTTTTTCTGAAAAACTTGAAATTCCATTGTTTTTATTTTCTTCAGGGTCATCATCCAAACGGTGGCGCTCATGCAAAATTCACAAATTACTCGTTCAACGCACAGGAGTTTACTAGACTAGTGGACAAAGCCGCTGACTATGTACTGAATCATGAAGAATTTAAAAAATTTGTCCTATTTAATTTTGAAAGTATCCACGATGAGCTGTAAATATCTTGAGATATTCAGTGTAAAACGCACATCACGAAGAATTTAATAAAGATCTGATTTATTTATTGAATATTTTGCTTTTAAGAAGAAGAAAAAAATGTATGTAATATCATTGGATTAGAACAGTATTTGTTCAAATAGAATGTAAATTGTGAATTTAGAATTATCCGTTCGAATTTCAAAGTGCTTTGACATTTTCAATGAGAAAGAAATAAATATGATGTTTTGATAATTATCAAAATATCAAATAAAACGAAAAGTATTCAATGCGATACATGTGTCTTTATCTGTTGCTATCATTTGTATTAATATTTTGTATCTAATTGGTAACTTATTCGTATCTGTTTGGTTCCGTCCAACGTTTTTTTCAAAATTTATTCTGATTTCATTCAATGGTTTCTTACCAGTTTTATTCGTCATTTTGTTAAAGCAAAAATTAATAATAAATAATTGATGTATTTGTATAACGTTTTTCTCCACGTCTAATTCAATAATTTTCTAAATAATTTTAAATTGTTCAACTCTTTACTTATTGATAACACTCGATCTACGGGAAATCGCTCAAAATTGGTCTAATTTTTTTTTTCACTAAAATTCCCTTAAAAATAATTCTCTAAAACTGCTTCAGTGAAAAGTACTTAAAATTGATGAATCACCAAGCTTTCAATTTAATTTTCTTTAAATACAGGAATGTGCTGATTGAACAAAGAGCAAACATGTAGACAAACAAAATGACCAATGCTTGTGCTGTGTTCAGAAGTAGTGTCTGGAAACAAAGGTTGACGATGCCAGTCATCAGGTTTGCGAGCAAGAAAAAAACGAGTCCATTATAAGTGATGCCGTTTAAGATGATTGGTGCGTAGTTTCGTTTTTCCGAACTCTCTTTCTCACCGTCATCGACGTTTCGACGGTCAAAAGATCGGAAATAGTAGAAAATTTCCAGTAGCATAAAGCAAACGACGACTGTTGTTCCAATTGATAACATCCAAAACACATAGCCCATATTGGCCATGCGACGTGACACACCAAACATATTCTTCAGAATGTATGTAATTTTCCACAGAATCAAAGCGACGAAAAACAGTCGCACGGTTTTCCAAAATAATTGACGAATATTGGTAAAAACGATGTCATTTTTGTTTTTTTCCGGGACACTCTCTTCTTTTCGTAGCCTGTATCCAATGTACACCGAGGCCAAGTACAATGACACGTAGCCAGGTATTGAAAAGATCCCTTCTCGATTGGCATTCTGGAAACTATCACGTTTGATTTGGTTGTTCGGATCGATGATATAATCGGCGGCGCCGAGTTGTAAGAAAAGCTCATGTGCAAAGAGCAACACCATTGATAAATATTTTAAATATTCAAAATGTGGCAGAATACCCAATAAAATGGAACCAAAGAATTTGGTAAAGGCGAGTGTCAAGAAGAAGTTCCAATGAACACCATACTCGCTGATATGCTGCTGATAATCCAATTCATTTGTCGCAGCAAATCGAACAGCGCCCAAGACCACCAACGGTAAGCACCCTATTATCGTTTTTTCCAACTTCTTCCATGTCAATCGGCTGCTTTCACTGGCTTTGCTTAATTCAGGTGCCACTAAACCATTTCCAAACACATAAAAACCTACGCCAGTATCCATCAAACCAAACCCAAACGTTTCAGTCTTGGCCAATTTTCGTGGGAAACACTTAAAGTCCACCGCCAGTATACAAACGGCCGTTAACAGGTTGATGGCAGCACGAAATAAGTTCAGGTATTCCGGTCGCTGGCATGGCACTTGCACAAATGGTGCAATATGAATTCGACCATAGATTTGCTTCACGGCCGCTGTTATTGTCACACACAGTAGTGTCAACGAAATCTCCCAAATTCGATAATTCAAAATGGTTACATGCAGAACGGTCGATGCCACAATCAATATGAATTCAATCACAAATGTCGGGATCACTCCTAATGGATGGGCTACATAAATTATGTTCGTAGCCAAGAATGTGGTGAAAAATGTTGGAATCACGGTTAAGAATACGTCTTCAATGGTCGAACCATTGTTATTCCGCATGAAACTCTCGTGATACTCCTTGTACGTTACGGGATCCATCGTAGCTCACTTAAAATTATTCTTTTGTTGGTTCTTCTTCAACTTTACTGACTAGATGAATGAATAATGCATTTTTCTTTCATTCTTTTCCATTTGTTTACATTTATCATCGCTGCTGATGACAAACTTGTGCTGCGATGAACTGTCAACCAAAGCCCAAAATGTCAAACTTTAATTCGAGCTTTTGTATGACGTTCTCATGAATGAAGCGCGCAGTTTGAATGTTTGAGCTTGAACAACGGTTTTTATTCTTGAGAATAATATTAGATGAGATAAATTGAGGAAAAAACGTCTTCTTTTTAATAAATAAATTGAAAATTGACACCTTTGTTTTAGTTGATTTTGTAATTACTTCATTTTCCATTGTTTTGAGGAAGAAAAAAATAGATGATTTTCAATCCAAGTAAACATTAGTTTTATTGCACGAATTCACTCAAACGAAAAACACTCAATTCTGCATTGAAAGTTTCAAATTCTATTTGTCGTTTTAATTTTAAGGTAAATATTGCACTACGAAAAATCATTCTGGCAAAAAATCCCATAGATTTTCATCATCAAAATGTCGCAAGAAAAAAAAACCAAAAAAAGAGTCCAAAACAACATTCAGAAAACTCCTCGAAAACAGATTCCCATTGGTGAAAAATGACTCAATGTGAATGGATAGTGAATTCACATTTCATTCATTCTTCTTCGAATTTAGCCTGTGCTCAACGGTCCGATTGCCTTTACTGAGAAATCACTCAAACGGAACAGTCGAGCGCTGCTAATGGAATATCACTCAACGTCTGTCGTGTGTAAGCGGCATATGAACTCGTCTAGCATATGTGAGACGGTTTAGTCATTAGTCAGTCGTTGTACGGAGCAGTTACGTTGGAATTTTGCTCGTCAAATTTTTTCGAATATTGAACAGATTCGACTTTGATTTGGTAAAAACAAAAATAATTCCACCAAATTGACAGTTCGTTAAAAAAACGCAGCAAGTTTTTTTGTTGACTGTGAAATTCCCGAAGGGTATTAGTGTGTGATTAAAAGAATTTTTGCAAAGTTAAAACATTTTGTATAAATCGTTATCAAAAAGACGGTTAAACAGACACAAGAGGTTGAGCAACCTTAAATGCTTGAGTAATTATATTAAACACAGTGGCTATGTGATCGACGTTTGATCAGTCGCGACTACAATTGACGCATGAATTGAATGAACTGTTTTTTTTGTGAATCGAAGATCAAAACAAGTCGGTATAAACGGAACAGAACAAACAGACAGAGACCATCGAAAAAAAAACTGATAGTGTTTACTATTGGAAAGGAACATATCGAAATGTGATAAGCAAATACGGCTGACTCTTGAAGTGAAGTAAGCCAGTAAAAGTGTGTGTGTGTATTTGACTGTAAACCATTAAAAAAAAGTTAATGTTTCGGTCGTTGTTGTTTTTTTTTTATCAAAAAGTAAACATTGAAAATCCAGAATTGAGAAAGAGGAGCCAAGGCAAAGTTTTGGATAAAGAAGAACAGTGACGGGTGAACAGAGCGCAAGAAATCATAAAAAAAATTATACGTTGGTTGCGTTAAACAGATACTTTTTTGGCACCGCCCTTAATCCATAACAATAAAAATCCGAAAACCGCACACAACAAAATTCTCGCACTCAAAAACTCTGTCGCTCTCGTCGTCGACGATATACGCAACGAAAGGCATAAACCCGAAATTGATGCAACTTCTCTGTCTTATTTTAAAGTCACATCGTTTCCAACGGGAGAAAGCAAAGAAAATAATAACATTGCGTACACATTAAATATTTACAGAGTCATTTTTTATGATTCGTTGTGTGTGTGCTTGCTTGCACAGCCAAACAACTTTGTTCTAACGTGCGCTCTTTTTCTTACCACCGTTGTGCACATACATACACACACACACGCCATAAATGCGGTGTGCACGGCACAGGATTGAGTGCTATCAGGAGATTAATTAAAAGTATGCCGTAAAAATTGTCGGCGACGTTAAAAACCAACTGTACAGACATACACATACGAAAGGCACCGCTATCGAGTCAAAAACCACGGGCCCCAATAACAATAACAGAGAGTGAAAGACGGAGTGGAATGTAGTGTTACTTGCATCTGTAACATTGGAATGGTGTCGAAATTATTCGAGCATATGTTCAGGATGATCGATTTTCATTGCAGACGTGCTCACATCCAAAATTCACCGTAAACAAGCACATTGTCGCTTGACAAACTCTGGGCAAATGCGGAAAAAGTTTTTATGTGCAAACACCAACGAATATATATATATGTGGTGTACTTTTTTTCCGGCAGTTAAGTGATTTTCAGACCAGGAGGGTTTCAAATTGACTTACGTAAATCCGGTGTACAATCATATTGCGGGCTGTTTTTATCAACAAACAACATTCAGCAAACCATTTGTGATGCAAACTTGTAACGAGGTCTGAATGTGTGTGTGTGTGTGTGTGGTGCGAACAATTCGGAACATTAAACAGAAAAATAAACCAAATGTATAAATAGCGCAGCCTAAAATTGGGAATTTCTGCTACATTGAGCCAGAGAGACGAGTGATAAGCAGGCGCATTTACGTTAAGTGCTGCATGCCATAAATAGTGAAATTTTGTGTAATCGTCGTCGCTCAATCGCATTTAGTTCATCGGATCAAATTGACAATTAAAACTCGTTGCGAAAGAAAAACCGTTTTTATTTGCCGGAAAAAGATCAGAGAAAGACAGACACAAAGAAAGTCGGAAATACGAAAACTGACGCTTTCAATTTTTATCAAGATCGTTTTTATTTCTGTTGTGTGAAACCAGTAACAACAGCATCATCAAAATGGTACTTTGCGATACAGATTTAGGTAAGTGATTTTAACTCTCGTATCCATCCCAGACAATTTGTTTTGTATAGCACGAGTGTGTGTCGATTATTTTTTTTTACTATTGTATTATGTCACATTTCTAAGTCAATGCAAATCTTCATCTAAACTTTCAATCTAAATGCTTTGGTCGTGTCGTACGTGAGTTATCGTTTATTGCGGCCAGCCGAAAAATGGGATGCTTTCAACCTGTTTTTTTCCGTTCCTTCCTTCTCTCTCCTGTCATTTTTCCACACCATTAATTGAACCGCTCGTTTGCTTCTACTGCGCAAAAACTTCGATGCATTAAACTGATTAGAAAACATTGAATTGAATAGAACAGCAGCTCTTGGATTCGGTTTTAAGTAAAAGAGAATGGATTTTGTTTTCGTTCGGATGCTGGAAGTGAATCGATTTCATTTTAAAAATGAATTGTAATGGAAATGGGACACAAAGCACACACACACACACACACAAGCAAAAACCAGCAGCAACGCACATACAACCAATTCTGTGAAATGAATGAGAATTGTAATAAGTACCTTTGATCCTGATGTGGGAATCACATAAATTATCCTTTATTTAGCTCACGTTTGTTATTCTTTTCGCCTGTTTTTCCTCTGTCGTTCTCTCGTTCTTGAGCTGATCACATTTTGCCTTATTGTACCGTTCTATGTGCTCTCTTTCTCTATTCATTTTTTTTCCTTCATTCACAATTGCCTCCTCCTTTTACTTGTTCTCATGCGTGTTTTTATTTGTGTGTGTGTTTGTGTGCTATTTTCGTCGTTTCAATTTCATTGCATCAATTCACTTGTGCTCTTTGAATTTCAAACGAATGATATCAGGTTGTAGTCCCTTTTTCATCCTCTTTGTCTCGTCTTTTGTCTTCGGTAGATATTCAATTGCGTATCACATTCAATTTCGATAAATGAAAATCGTCTTCGACTACCCAGCAACAAGACCTTTTTTCTTCGATGCTCTTATTTTCTCCCATTTCGATAATATATTTAGACAAATGGCTCTATTACGTCAATTTCTTTCGCATCAGTCTTATTATTATCTTAGCGTTTTTGTTCTCTTTTGTCGATTGAAAAATGGCTAAAAATAAATCTATTGCCAGTTTATTGTCTACCGTACTGTATTTTGATTATACAAAAACAGTGACAAGATATTTCCTTAAAGGATGTTATTTGTCTCTGTTTTTTTTTTGGTGTGAAAAGAGAAGAGATACCTCGCACCCAAAACAAATATGGAGAACCAGTTCAAAATTGGACGAAATACTTGAAACGAGATACATTCAAAAGACATTCTTGAATGGACTTGAAAGTCAAAATAAATAGTCCAAGTCAAGACGCATCATTTTCACATCGCACACATTTTTCCAGTCGAAATGCGGAACTTATTTGTGTTTTTGTTTTGTCCGAAAAAACAGATTCCTCAATCAAAACAATCAAATTCGAAGACAATTGGATGAATGAAAAGGAACATGTTTTGGAGATTTGCGGCAATTCAAATCATGAATAGCTGCAATCAAAACTCCAATAAAATGTCGACCTTTGTTTGGTATTTGGCAACAAGTTTGAATTTCGTTGCAAAAATTGTAATCGAATCAAATGTGAGTGTATCGCATCAACGACTACGGTCATTGGGCATGGTAAAAAAAAGCGTGTGCCGGAAATGATCTGTGTATAGTGATTATTACATGGAATATGAGTGTGTAAATCCAAATAGAATAAGTGTATTTATGGTGAATCCGAAATGTGAGCGGATTTTCTGCGAATTCATCGTCAATATTGAAAAAAAGAGCGCCAATTGTTTAGAGTGAAGGCGTACAAAGAATTGTGCTGAATCCAAAATGTAATTCAGAATATGGAAAAAAAATTACGAAGCAACAAAGCAGCGAATGGATTCATTTTTTGCACACATGATTTTTAATAACAATTTAATCAAAACATTATCGCCGCTGGTGAGAACACGACTTGGGTGTGAATTAAAAAATCATGCAAATTTTGAATCGCAAATATTTATTATAATATGACAGTGAGTGAGAGACCCGTCGATATTTCTATATGAATAAGCGTAATTTGAAATCGTGTTCCAAGTCATTCAAGTGCCTAATGTAGATGATGTTCGTATGTATTTCAAAACCATAGCGAGAAACTGATTCAATGTACACTGAACACTCACACTCGACGAGTGAGAACAGAGATACTTGAACGCCAACGCGAGTCGCGCATTGTTTGGAAAAAAAATGTTATTAGAATTTGATGTGTTAACCATCGAAGCATCGATACGTGCTTATTTTCTAGTGTGTATACAATGTATTTTATACGGTAACATATCACCGTGTTGCCAGCAAACACACACACACACACGCTCTCGTTATAACGACCGAATGAATTTGGTTAACCAATGCCATCGATGCCACAAAAAGTTATGTGTTCTAGATTCTCTTGCGTTCGCCTGTCAAACAGTGAGAAAAAACCACACTCGAGATGAAACAAAAGAGATTGAAAATTTATCGGCTCGTGTTCCGATCCGGATAAATTATCAATCGACACTTTGGCTGGCTGGCTGGCTGGCTGGCTGGCTAGCATGTGTGTGTGTGTACTTTTCGATGCTGTATTTCTCTATGGTTTACACTGTGTCGCTCCGTGGAAATATAAATCATGGTAGACACGACAACTGCGTCATTCATTAAGCGATTACGATCCAAATGGAAATTTCGTAATCTGAAAACCTTCTCACTCTGTGGTGTGGTGCCACCCATGCATCGCGATCAACGGCAACCGATTTTAATCTTGCTAATAACAACCGCCACCATCTCACATCTCTGTCGCTCTCTCGCAGCATCTCGCGCGTATTGTTTACCCCAAATTACACACATTTTTGCGGTATTCGTGATGCTGCAACTGAATACGCCGTGTGCTTTGTTTTTACTTTATCGATATAATTATGCATAACATCGAGTCAGCGTGTCGTAGGTTAATTCAAGGTAAAATCCATTCATTTGATAGCTCATTAATAATTTAGATGCAATGAACAGATGTTTAAAAACACGTCAACGCAACAATCAAAGAAGATCAGGTTGCGGTGTTGCGAAAGCGAATAAATTTTACGCTTCGACATGCGCCGCCTCGTCTCTTGACATTTTTTCGGCTAATTTGATTTGCCTTCACCATTGAATCAAATGGCATTCGTTGATAAAAATTGCAACTGGCAAGCGAATAAATGGATCTAATATCAATTTATATCCGGTTGCCTGGCATCGCATTTAATAACACACACACACACACACAGCAGCTGAAAGTTTAATTATAATAATTGAACTGCCCTTCGGTAGCAGGACGATGGTACCCTTGTCACACAACCTCACTCACTCACTCACTCGCACAGCGACGACGCTTGTAATCTTTGGCAATGGGTAATTGCGGTTATCGTTTGTTTATGTATGTGATGGGCAAATAAAAAGAACGGAATTACACGAAGCGTCACCTATCCGCATGAGATCAATAAAAACAATAAAGGGTCCGTGTGTGCAACAACAAAGGGAGGGTTAGACATACATTTATGTCAGCGTATATTGATGTATGTTGGAAATGACTTGCCAAGAGAAGTGCATGCATAAACAAATCGTATGAATAACAACAACTCGGAATGGAACAAAAAGGCAAGTGAATGAAAAACAGTGGCCGGGATGTCTGTCTGATGAAAGACACATTGGCGTCGATCCAAATACATCAGCAGAAATTGTTATGGTTTTTTGTGGTTGCTGTTCGTATGCTAACGGTTTTGCTTTGCATTGATAATAATGATTTGAATTGTCGCTGCGGTTGACCAAAATCGATTCTCATCGCATCTCATTGAATGCAAATTGGATATTGTATGATATGTTCTGTTTTTTACTCATTTCAAGCCAACACAAACAACTCACGACTTTCCCAATAAAATGTGTAAACAAAATTTCGTTTGAACTCAATTCTTTTAATCGAATTTCCGCAACGAACATTTCTTCTTTGTTGAGCAATTATACAACCGTTCGAAATTAAAAGCAGATGTTCAAGTATTACTCTCTGTTGTTTGTCGTGTTTGTTGTTTTTTTTGTTTCGCTCTTCCTCTCCATTTCACACTCACACTCTCCATCTCCGGGATAATTAGTTGGGAAAATAATAGTCTCACGAGTGTGATTGGTACGAAGTAGATCGCTGTCTCTAACTTCTTCTTTCATATACTCACTCGCCACCGAAAATTGTTTGCAATTTTCAGTGAACTGAATCACTTTTTGCATTATCCACGGGGTGCACAACCACAATCACTTCGTTTTCCACTGAAAAACTCTCGGCAAAACAATATGCTTTTGCAACCGTACAACCCGAACCTCTGAAAACTGAGTAAAATAAGAGAAACTTTTTCCCATTATTTTCCAATTCTGAGCGTGTCAAATTGGCAGAGACGCGTGTTTCTTTCACTCAAGCGAAAATAAAGAGCGTCAGACAGTTTTGAAATGTGTTCACGAGTCAGTGTGTGTTGTGTGTATATATTTTCGGTTCGGTTATTACCGATTTATGTATCGTCGTCGTCATCGTCAACACACCATCAACACATCATTCGTCAAATGTATCGTCCCGTTTGACGAAACGATACGCCAACACCACACGAAATAACGATGTGAAAAAAGCAGGCAACGAACGGCTTTATTTTATGTGAACAAACGCAGCATGCACATGATAGAGAGTGAGAGATACATTTTGCTTTCGTTCGAAACGACGACAGACGATGAGAGAGACGCTCAAGTAAGCAAGCAGACAAGGCCATGTTTATTAAAGCCCATAATGTGCATTCTATTGAGCGCGCTAATATGCATTTGTATACAATTTTAAAGGATTATTAAAACCAACGATGAACGAAATGAACGAAAAAAAAGCAACAGCAAAACGGCACAAAGCGAGAGAGAGCACCTTATGTGCATCGCATCACATCGGAAAATAATGGTTATAACATAA